TCCCGTCCTTTCCTGGGGTCCCCTCCTCTCCGGGACCCGCCCCGCCATTGCTTAGTGTGTGGTGGGACTGGGGGCGTCTGTCCTGGGGTGAGGGGATGGCCTGGGGTGAAGAGGCGGTGTTGTGGTTAGGAGTCTCGTAGTTTAGGGGAGGGCAAGTTGGTCCTGTGAGGGTGTTTTCCTCCCCTGAAACTGATCGATACTGCCACCTTGTGTACAGGTTTTTGCTTTGCACCCGGACAAAGGCAATATTTTTGTTAGTTCAAAAAACAAATAAAATGTTACAGATGTGTTTGTCTGTCTTCGGGATGGAAAATGTGTTTTTGGTATATGTGAATTCCATACTTCTTAGAAGACTGGAAAAGGCAGTACTTGAAGAGAAAGTTAATATATTCTAGAATGTTGGTTCTAGGTCATTTTGTTAGGAGTGAAATGTGATTTGTAAGTAAAATGTTAAAATAATTCCAGTTCCCATTTTGATGGGAACGTAGTGTGTTTCAGGGAGAAGCAGGTAGTAATGCAGGGGGGTATGGAGAAGAAGGGGTTCAGATAGTTGGGGAGAGTTACTGGGAAGTAAGTTGCAAGTCGACCGAAAGGGTATGTTATGTTCTGCTCACTCCCAGAGCTGAGTTTCATGGGTTCTCTGGGGTTTGGTGTGGGCCCCAGCTGTTAGGTGAAGCTTCACATTGACTGTGCAAATCCGAATTTGCATAGAAATTATTCACCCTCTCAGCTTTGGTTACTTACTCTGAAATAAGGCATTTGTCTAACTAAAGTTTGAAGGGTTTGGAATATAGCTCAGTAGTAAAACATCTGTCTACCATGCATTAGGCCCTGGATTCAATTCCCAGTTTTTTAAGTTGTTTCTCCATAGTTACTTAAAAGGAAGTCTGGAGAAATGGAGTTAAGAAAGTTTGGTGTTGTAGCAGGAAAGAAGCGCTGGGCTCCAGGTTCTTTTTCTCACCGCTACTTTGGGCATCACCCCCTTCTATGTTAGGTATTCTAAAACTTTTTCCCAGTTTAGCATGTGGCGCTTCAGCGGTTATGTTGAATTCAGGCAATCAGACCGCAAAGCAGATTCTGGGGGCCAAAATGTTTTCTCACTGTCTGAACTGTCTGCATTGGCTGGTTCCTGCTTTTGTTGTTTTCTTTTGTTTTTACCCTGTGGATTGAACCTGGGCCCTCATACTGAACTACATCACAGTCTATTTTTTGTGAGACCAGATCATTTAGTGGCCCAAGCTGGGCTCCTTTACTTGCAATCCTCTTGTCTCAGCTTCCTAGAGTGCTGGGATTATTGGCCTGCACCACCAGACCCAGCTTCCTTCGTGTTTCTAAATGATGGTTTACCCCACATTCATCAATCAGCCTTAACCAATAGCAAATTTAATTGAGGAAAATGGTGAAAAAAGCTGCAGGTTTCAGAGCTGAGAAGAGAAAGGCAACGGGCTTTCCTCCCACCCGGTCTTCTCGTGGGGCTCTTTCTGCTGTAGTAGTTGTGTCCTTCACACGCCTGGTGTGACAGCTTCCCATCCTCCTCCCTATCCGAACAGCCTGGGATACCTACTCCTCCATCAGGGTTCAGAGTTAGGCCTTTCACTCAATCCTTACCCTCTGGGAGAAGGTAATGTGAGGAATGGATGGAGCACAGGATGCCCTCCTGGATAGAACGCTTGTAATGGAGAAGGAACATAAAATAAAGAGTTTCTTTGGTTTCTGTGCTGATTCTCAGAGGCCTGTTTCACTCAAGAGATGATAGTGCTTGGCTGACAAGCTAGAGGTGCTGAGTTTGATTCCTGGTACAAAAAAACAAAAACTATAATGCTCTTTGAGCCTCAGACCACAGCATTTTGGAAATGCATTTTCATTGCTCCAGTAATGTAATTGGTGTTCCTCTCTTAAGTGACAGGAAATAGAAGGAACAAATAATTTAAAGCCATTAGAGCCATGTTTCATCATAGTAGAAAACCACCTAGGAACGGGGTACACAGGCAGAGTGCTTGCCTCCAATCCATGAGATCCTGGGTTCGATCCCAGCACAAGAAGCAGCTAAAGTTTGTACAGATGCCTGGGCCTTTCTCAGGGCAGTTCAGGATGACGAGGCCCAAGGTAGTGTATGCATTCCCAGCTGCCCAGGGTCTCTAATGTGCAGGCAAAACTGAGGAAACCGCTGGAAGACAGAGGCTACTTCTAATTTTGCGGAGACGGGCATGGGAGGACAGCTACGAGTCCATGCTTCTTGGACCAGCAGCTGTTGGTCCGGGGTTTTCCGCCGTGAGCTCGAATCCACAGACCCTACTGGCTTGAGTAAGTGTCTGTACCAACAATGATAGAGGTTAAAGAAATCTCAGTACTCCAGTGGACTAAACCCTAACTCCTGAAGCTGAGCTAATTAATCACATTCATGAATTCCCCACCAGGGAAGCGGCGTATTAGCAAGCCATATTAAGAATATGAGGAGCTAGCACAAGGGCTGGTTATTTAGCTCAGCAGCACAGCACCTGCCTGCTAAACATGCCCTGAATTCTATCCACGGCGCACACACACACGCACACAGCCAGTGCATACACAGTTTGGAATTTAAAAGTCACTTTGCAGCATTTGCCCAGACGGAACGTTAATGGGAGTATGGGAGAATCTGAATTCTTAAGTGGTTCTTGGGAGAGATCTTTACAGAAGGCAGAAGCTTTTGGGTAAGGGAAAGCAGATGGAGTAATTGCAGGAGAATAAAGGAAGAAACTGTGTCTTCACACAATGGTCTTGCAAATTTTATTATGCATACAGTCTATATATTCAAAGGGGAGACTAATTTTGTATGGTTTGGAGTCCCCAAATTATCCTGTGATATATGGCCGTCTCACAAAAGAAAAAGAACCATACACACCACCAAACATCTATAAAAAGGCACAGAAGGGCCCAGCAAGGTAGAGTCTGGAGTGATGGAGGAGTTGGTGGAGTAAGGACCCAGAGCAAACGCCTAAGGAAAGATCCTGAGAGAACACTGAGGGAGAGCAGGGCGCAGCGGTGGTTCATGCACACGCACTGACTCCGGAGGCTTATAATTCCCCTGGGACAGCACACAAACCGACCCCACTGGGACATAAAGTTATTCAGAGTGCCCTCAACATGTCCACCACCTTTTGCTAACTCCCAGGCCTCACACTGGTATAAGAAGGACGAGAAGCCTTAGCCACCAGTTTCAATTTAGCAGTTTAACAAGACCCTGTCTCAAAAAATTTAAAAGTCTGGGGGCTGGGTGTGGTGGCCCATACCTGTAATCCCAGCACTTGGGAGGCTGAGGCAGGAAGATTGTTACGGAAGAAAGCAGTAAGTGACAGGCAGCAGAATGGAAGTAAAATAAATTTACTTATCGATAAGGGTCGATTGCACATAAGCTGTGCCTGGATCGACTAGCTTACAACTCCTCCTTTCATAGGGTTTTACAGCCTTGACTTCATTTGGGTGGTTACATTTCATTCTCACAGTTCAAATCACCGTCACAGAATAGTTAATCTTTTAACTCAGATGTAACTTTAAGATTCACCTAGTTATTCTAGTCCATAGGAAGGGTGTGTTTAGGGTCAGGGGAGCAAATGTTAGCAATGGGTTCTTTCATTTAGACAGTTTTACGATCAGGTGGCTCCAGTCTCTGGGAACTCAAGACCTTGCTGACCCTGTTATCTCAGGGTCAGGCCAAATGCCTCAGTCAGCAATTAGTGCCTTAGGTGCCTGTTCGTTATAAGCTAAGCTAAACAAAGCAAACTGCTGTGAGACAGCAGAAGCCATTTTACATTGTAACACTTTATAGGTTTTTGCTATTTATAAAAGTTTCCCCTATCAGGATTGCTGTGAGTTCGAGACCAGCCTTGGCTACATAGTGAGTCCCAGGTCAGTCTCAACTACATAGTGAGACCCTGTCTCAAAAAAAAAAAGAAAAAAAAAGGGCTGGGGAGATATTTAGGTCCTTGGTGCCAATGCTTGGCTGGACAGTGCAAGGCCCTGAGTTTGATCCCCTAAATAAAAAGGGGGAGAGTGGTGGAGGGATGGAGAGGTAGGTCAGTACAAAGGCCCGGGGTTCAATTTCCAGTACAAAATACAAAAAGGGGAAAAAAGGCTATGAAGATGGGCATAGTGGTGCACACCTATAGTCCCAGCTACTTGGGAGACTAAGGCAGGAGGGTGACAGGTTTTAGTTCAGCCTGGGCAATTTAGCAAGACCTGTGACCTGTGGCAAAGCAAAGCAAAACAAAACAAAAAACCCAGAAGGCTGAGAAGGTAGCTCAGCGCTTCCAGAGCTCAATCCCCAGTACAGGATGCGGGTTCGGTGGGGAGCGGTAATAAGAAAAACGAAGACCAGGCAGAAGGGAGAGAGGGAAGTAGTTTAATGGTATAGTGTTTAAGTTTGGGAAGAAAAATCTCCGGAGAGCCACTGCACAATAATGGAAATATGCTTAACACTGAACAGCACAGACGGTTTAAAAAATTACATATCAAATTGGCCGCGAAGGGGGGGAAGGGCATGCGCACGCGCACAACGCCCCAATTAACACAAACGCGCACGCGCCCCCCCCCCACAGCCTAGTCGGCTCGGGTCGTGCCAGCCGGGGACTTTCTTGCGTCTGGCCAACCACGTTGCCTGTGCTTTTGCTTGTTATTTCTGTTGGTTTATCAAAGTTCAAGAAACATCTCTGGCTATTTGACGCAGGAACATATTTTCAAGACCTCTCCTTTACTTCATTTTATTCCTGTTTGAACGAACGATGGAAAAAATGTACCGCTTAGAATCAGGCATATACGAAGACAACCACACCCGTCAGGCCCCCCAACCAGGGGCCTCTATAAATAGCTCTGGCAGTACCGCTCTTTTGTGTTGGAGGCTTCACGTGGCAGCCGTGGCTTCCTTCCTGTTTTCCGGGGGTCTGCGACTGAACTCGCTGCGGAGCTGGAGAATGGCGCCGAGTCCGCTCTTGTGCAGCAGCCGCTTGCAGGTACCTGGAGCTCCTGCTGGGAGGGAGGCTGTGGTCCGAGGCTGAGCAGGATGAACCACCATTACAGACTAGAGTTTCTGATGTCTCCGTGACGCCGCTCCTCGGAACTGACCCAGCTGGGGTGGGGGGAGGTCGGTTGGAGCCTCTTTGTCTTCTACCAACGGATAGGTTCTTTTTCTAGGTTCCCGGTCCTTGCAGGCGGGCTCGCAGCGCGAGATGTGGTAAGTGGGCTGTGGCAGAGCTGCGTCGTAGTTGGCAGCGCCTGGCGGTCGCTGCGGGGCAGCACGGGGTGATGATGACTCCTGGTGACTCTGAGTGTCTCGCTGACGCCAGCACCGCAGCGCGCTGACCGCCCCGCGGGCCACAGAACCTGATGCTTGGGTAGGGGAGGCTGGTGGCCTGGAGCACCTACTAATGCTCCCGTTTCTGTGTCTCGGTTCCCCAGTCAGGAGTCTTAGGACGTCCGCTGGTGTGTTACTCTGAAATAAAGGTTAGTATCCGACCTCAGAGGCTCTGCTGCTCCGCCTGTTTTGTTTCCAGGCAGTCTTTCATGGGGAGCTGTTATGTTTACTTTGAGAAACACTGAGCTTGATGACTTTCCATTCTTGTCTTATGTTTGTCTTGTGCATCCTAATTTGGGGGGAGAAAGGGGATGTTGAGACATGATCTGGCGTTCATGCTGTCCTTGAAGTCCAGGCAGTCCTCCTGCCTCAGCCTCCCAAATTCTGGGATTGTAGGTGAGGATCAACGCACCTGTCTTGATCCTGCATATTTTTATTTAAACCTGGTTAACCCCCCATGTATCCACCATTGTAAAATGAGTACATGAGGGCTCTCTGAGTAGAGCTATTTTGTTTACTTCTCTATTTCTTTCTGGACTTTAATTTGAAGATCTTTTTAATTTGAAGATCTTGATGTGCTGGGGCTGTGGTCTTTGAATGTGCTGAATCTCCTCCCAGAATGTGTTCCCTCAATCCAGAACTCCCTAGGTTGGGAATGATGATTTCACAGACTAGAGTCTCTGACACTGGTCCTGATGTCAAAATAAGTTCTGACTCATCTAGGGAACTGGATGCTTAGCTCTCTGGGAGGCCTTTACAGTGCTTGTTCTCATTAACATCCTGTTTCCATTTTTCTAGCATGAGAACTCTGGAAACACAGGTGGGATAGAGCCCTTACCAGAAATTCTGCACTAACCTGATGGCTGGAAACCTAAGGCTTGGAATCCACCCCTTCCTCTAGGGAGCAACTGTTGGGATCCACGGGACCCCTGCCAGGGTGAGGGCTGCTTTGGTTCCCAGCCTCAAGAGTGGGGATGGTGACCTGGTTGGACTAGAGTCTCTGAGTTTCTCTGAGGATCTTTGAAACCATCTGAGCCACTCCTAAGCTTCCCCTCCATCCCACCCACCCAGCTTCATGTTTTACTGCTGCCTGCCTGCATGGTTCTAATGTGTTTGTTTTGTGAAATTTCAGGATTTTGCTGACAGGATGTCTGCTACCTCACGTTGGGCAGATCCTGGGAGCTTACATCATTCCTGAATTAACCTACACGAATAGCTGTCAACTCTCACTGGGCAGAAAGTTGGCTGGAAATTTTCAAACACTTTGTATTAAGTAGAGTTCACTTATATTTGTGTTCTGCAAGTTCCTGGTTTACTGAAAGAATTTCAGTCTTGTACTTTGTGAGGCAGGCGGCAGAGCCACTGAGCTAAATAAAGTATTTTAAAATATAATTAGTGTGGATTATCTGGTCTTGGGGGAAAAGGATACAAAACAATTAGGAAAGTAGAAGGTTTGGTGGTTATAATTGAGCACTTAAGTGTACTTTACAGCTGTATGTAAAATACTCAAATCAGACAAGTTCATAGCATTTGGGATTTCTAGATCTAGTCTACTGCAGTGTTATACTGTACTGCGTGTTACTAACAAGTACAGTACTTGAAGTTTTCAGTTGTGGTCGAGCAACGTTAGCTGGCATCTAAGTTACCTTGGGAATGGAAGCATTTCCCTGTTTTCCCATGTCACTGTCTAGGAGATGACGTGTGTTCCTCAGGGTCACTTAGATTTCATCATGTTACTTGCACATTGACAGCCCGTTCTTGCTCCCAGCTGAAGTTGTGTTACAAGTTTTTAGACAATTCTAGGGTTTAAAGTTTTGTAAACATGGCCTCACCCTGCTGACATGGCTTCTTTCTGTGCCCACCGCGACTGCCGAGGGTGGTATTTGTCATCCTACTTGTGCTGTCCCTTGTTCCCCCCTTCTGGGCCATCAAACCCAGTTTACCATGCATCCCAGAGAAGCACTTGACCTGGTTTCAATACCTGACACCACAGTTTTAAAATTTTAGAACTGGGGATTTAGGTCAGTGGTTCCGCTGCCTGCTTCACAAGCGCAAGGTCCCAAGTTCAATCCCCAGTACCACCAAAAAAAAAAAAAATTTCAGCTGGCTCAGTGGGACATGCCCTTATCCCCGCACTCTTGGAGTCTAAGGCAGGAAGATCAAAAGTTCCTTCCTAGCCTGGGAAATTGAGCAATTTGGTCCCTGTCTCAAAAACAAAACAACTGGAGACAGCTCAATGCAAAGGCCTTGAATTCAATCCCTAGTACCAGAAAAAGTTTTCAAGTGATACTTTCTTAGCCAAATAAAAATGGCATGAAAGCTCTGATTTTGTTTTGGTACTGGGAATTGAACTTGGGACCTTGCACTTGCAAGGCAAGTGGTAGAAACATTGAGCCAAATCCCTGGCCCTCTCATTTTTTTTTTTTTTTTTTTTTTTATTATCCCCATTACTAGGGATCAAACCCAGGGCCTTAACAGCTCCAGACCTTAACCTTTTATTTTTTTGTTGTTTTTTGAGACAGGTTCTTATATAGTTCAGGCTGCTCTGGAAAGCACTGTGTAGCCCAGTCTGGTCTCAACTCCAGTGATCCTCCTGCCTCAGCCTCCTTAGTGCTGGGATTACAGATGTGCACCACCACACCTGGCCTTAACCCTTTTATTGAGACAAATTTCAACTTCCTCAGATTGTGCTGGAATTTAAGATCCTCCTGCCTGAGCTTCCCAGAGTGCTGGGATCATGTGCTACTATGCTGAACACTGTCAGTCTTGATAGATAGTGGGGTCCTTTTATACCAGGGTAATATGCTCCAAGACCCCTGGTGGATGCCTGAAATCAAGAATGGGAAACCCTATGTACGGAGTATTTTCCTTTCCTGTACATCCACCGCTGGTACAGTTCAATTTCCAAGTCTAAGATAGTAAGATTGAAAGTAATTATGCTGAATAGACTGTTCTCGGCCCACTTGCACTGTGAGGTGCCACGACATTGGCTGAACAGATGGCTGTGAAGGAGCAGGTGGGTAGCCAGGGACGGTGATGCCCAGAACAACTCTGCTTGAAAGGTGGTTGAGTTTTCTGTTTAAATATTTCAATATTTAGTGGTTTGGGGATCATCATTGACCATAGGTAACGAGCTATGGAAAATGTATGTGTGTTCCTACTGAACATTTCCAGTATGGTTCCCACCCACTTTGGCAAAAAAAAACCAAACAGCTTTTTCTTTTTTTTTTAATGGGGCTTTGCTGTGTAGTTCAGACCTGCCTTGAACTCACTTGGTAGCCTGGGCTGGCCTTGAGGCAATCCTGCCTCAGGCTCCTGAGGGCTGGAATCAGGGCCGTGCCACCTCACTGGCAACCCTCATTTCCTTGAGCAGTTACATGTCTTGCTGCGTGGTGGCTCTGAGCCACTGACTCCCACTGGGTGGCATGGGACGATCCCGTTGTGGGTACAAGCTGCCCAGTGGGTGGCAGACAAGTGTGTACCATGGAGTACTACAGCTTTTCTTCTTCCTTTCTGTTGCTCTGGTTGGACTCAAACTTCCAGTGCCCTTGCCTGAGCCACCTGGCATGCTGGGGTTGCAGGCTTGAGCCATCCTGCCCCGCCTCTGCTTTCCCTTTGAAATGGCCCTGTTTTGTAATCTAGAGGCTGACGTCACCTGCCTTTGTTGCAGTTCCTGGACTTCAATCCTTGTGTCCCGGAACTTTAGGATCAGTCCTGCTTTATAGGGATTTTATCTCTAAAACAGGGTGATTTGAAATAGACATTTTTAGCCAGGTGTGGTGGTGCACGTCTGTAATTCCAGCACTGAGAGGCTGAGGAAGGAGGATCACTGCAACTTCAAGGCCAGCTTGGGCCACATAGTGAGTTGAAGGCCAACTTGAATTATGTAGTGAGCCCTGTCTCAAAAAATAGGTAAAATGGACATTTAAAAAATGATTAATGAGGCTGGGCAAGGTGGCACACGCCTGTAGTCCCAGCACTTGGGAGGCTGAGGCAGGAGGATCACTGTGTTTGAGACCAACCTGGGCTACATAGTTCCAAGTCGGTCTCAAGTACATAGTGCATCACCATCCCCGGCTTTATTTTTGTTTTTGAGAGGGGTGCACACTCAAAGGTATCCTGCCTCAGCCTCCTGAGTGCTGGGATCAGAGGCATGTGTCACCATGCCCAGGTGTGTAATTATTTTTTTATTATTACTGGTGTGTTGAGACCACTGGAGTTTGGTTTGTTTTGTTTCAGTACTGGGGATTGAACCCAGGGCCTTTGCACTAAACTACATCCCCAGTCTTGTTTGTTTGTTTGTTTTGGTACTGGGGATCAACTTGGGTCCTTGAGCTTGCAAGGCAGGTGGCGGAACCACTGAGCTAAATCCCCAGCCTCCCCAGTCTTTTTGTTTGTTTGTTTTTATTTTGAGACAAGGTCTCAGTAAGTTGTTAAATTGCCCAGGTTGGGCTGGAACTTATGATCCTCCTGCCTCAGCCTCCTAGAAAGTTGATATTACAGTTGTGCACCACCACACTGGGCTAGTTTTGAAGAGTTTAAAAAATTTAGCTGGGTGGGACCCTGGGCATGGTGGCACACGCCTGTCATCCCAGCACTCAGGAGGCTGAGGCAGGAGGATTGCTGTTGAGTTCGAGACCAGCCTGGGCTACATAGTGAGTTCCAGGTCAGTCTCAAATACATAGTGAGACCCTGTCTCAAAAAAACAAACAAAAAATTTAGCTGGGTGGGACCCTGGGCATGGTGGCACACGCCTGTCATCCCAGCACTCAGGAGGCTGAGGCAGGAGGATTGCTGTTGAGTTCGAGACCAGCCTGGGCTACATAGTGAGTTCCAGGTCAGTCTCAAATACATAGTGAGACCCTGTCTCAAAAAAACAAACAAAAAATTTAGCTGGGTGTGTGCACACCCTGTAATCCCAGCACTTGGAGACTGAGGTAGGAGGATCCCAAGTTTGAGGCCAGCCTAGGCTATATAGTGAGTCCAAGGGCAGCCTGAACTGCAGAGCAAGACCCTGTCTCAAAAAGCCAAACCAAACCCAAACAAACAAAAAAGACTGTCTTTTAAAAAAAGCAGCTGGGGATGTGGCTCAGCACAAAACCCCTGGGTTCCACCTCCAGTAGCAAAACAAGCAAACAAAACACTTTTTGGGACCTGTGATCTCCAAAGGGCTGAGCAAGTGCAAATGCTGCAGCACCCCACGGGGATATGGCCAGACTCACAGCAGGCGCCGGCACCCTCAGGGACACGCACTGCTCTGTGGATGACTCAGGATCACAGCCGGGAAGCCAGTCCCATGGGAAGGAGCCAGCCCGAGCAGCAACCCAACTGTTGACTTGAGGCTGAGAAATTCACAGAACCAGGCCCCTGGCTGGAGGCAGAAGATGTTCTGAGAGAGAAAGGAAACTGAAGAAAGAGCCAGTGGATTCAAAAGGAAGTAAAAACAAGGAGGTGGGGTGTCGCTCGGGTAGGGTACGTGGTCCCCATGCTAGGTTCTACCCCAGCACCACAAACCAGGTGTGGTGGTGCATGGCTGTAATCCCGGTACCGGGGAGGCTGTGCTGGAAGGATCACGAGTTCGAGGTCAGTTTGGGCCACAAAGTGAGACCCTGTTTCAAATTTAAAAAGACAAGAAATACGTAAGAACCACAGTGGCGCACACCTGTAATCCCAGCACCTGGGAGGCTGAAGCAGGGAGATCCCTGAAAGTTCAAGACCAATCTGAACCACATAGCGAAACTCTCAAAAACAAGCAAATACAGAAAGCACAACAGTTAAAGTCACAGACCAGCTGAGTGGAGGACTAGTGAACAGTGACATTGAACAGAGAAACCTGAGCAAGATGAGGAGGAAGTTTGAAGTAGGAAGGTGGCCTGAGACCCTCCCCTGGGCATAGCTGGGCAGAGCTGCTCTCCAGGCGACAGCTGCTCCAACCCTGCACCTCCAGGGTCGACCTCCGCTCCACCGTCTGGCACTCAGCAGCCCAGCCTAGAACTTTCTCTCTGTAACGACTGCCTCCCCGCAACCCTTCACTCTCTGCCCAGTGCTCGTGTGGCAGGTCAGGGCCTTGAGCAGGCCAGGCAAGCTCTCTACTCCCAGGCCCTCAGCCCCGTCACCACCTTCTGATGGTTTCCCAAAGAATAAGGAAACAAATGATCCCAAGTTCCTGCTGACTCTCAAGGTCATTGTCCGGAGCAGGTGAGCCTGGGGTGGGAACGGTCAGTGTGGACTGGCCATAAACTGTGATGATAAGGGTGTGGGTCACGAGGCCCCAACAACATGCTGGCATCAGGTGATGACCTGCGGGAAGGGCACCTCTCCAAGTGTCCTTGTAACAAGGCAGGAGTTTGTGGCCAGCCTGAACTGTTGAGTGAGTCCGTCTCAACAAAACAAAACTAAACTAAGACTGCTTGTTCACACTGAGAAGGCAGGATAAATGATTCATTTTTATTTAGAATATTGTGTATAAGGAGTTGGTGTACAAATCTCCTTATTTAAAAGAAAAAAATCTCCTGTACTGATGGGAAATGAATTTCTCCCTTTTTGAATATTCATGCATCCAGCAATTTCCCCTTGGTCCCTTTGACCTTGTCAGAGGCCCTCTCCACAGCAGGAGGGGACACCCGGCTCTTGGTCTCCTTTCAGAAATGACCAAGTAACTGGGGCTGGCCCTGGCGAGGCATCTGTGACACCCTCAGGAAAAGACGCCCGTCCTGGCAGTTTCTCTCTCTGATTTTCTTTTAACAAGAAAAAACACGTTATTGTACTTTACTTATAGAAAATGAAATTTCTAAGGGAATCAAACCATACACATAATCTCTTTAAAGGTTGTTTCCTCCACTATGTCAGGTTGAGACATACCTAAAATGAACCAGTGTGAATCTGATTGTTTTAAATCAGACTGTAAATAAAACAACAGAAAAATAAACAGACCACCAGGCCACAGTGTGAAGCCACTTTCGAAGTTCCTGGCTCCGGCCCAGCTCCGGGAGAAGGGGGCGTCCCACTTTCACTCACAGGCTTTTGCCTGCAGCTATCACCGTGCAGACAGAGCCTTCCTTTCCTGACAGTTACTCAGCCGGAAAACTGGAATGGTTGTTTTCCCAAATACTATAAAACAGTAACACTGACCAGCAACTTTATTTGATTTTACATATTTTAAAAGTATTTTGTCAGTTTTATTTTACACATTCATCCATTCACCACAGCCCTCAAAAAGAAGTTTCTTCACAGAACAGGTGATGACATCTCTTCTAAGGGATGTGTTTTACTTTTTTTTTTGCACCCACTCTCGATTTTTGTAGGCAAATTCACCCTTGATTACCTGAAACTTCCATTCTCATCCTTAGAGGTACAGATGGTTCAAAAGTTTTTTTTTTTTCCTGTAATAAACTAATGCAAATTTGGAATTTAGTCTGGATCTGATTTTTTTTCTTTTTCTTTTGGAACAGGGTCTCACTATGTAGCTCAGGCTAGCCCTGAACGCATGGGGATCCTATTGGAATTTACTGGATCTGATTTTTTTTCTTTTTCTTTTGGAACAGGGTCTCACTATGTAGCTCAGGCTAGCCCTGAACGCATGGGGATCCTCCTGCCTCACCCTCCTGGATGCTGGGATTACTACAGATGTGCATCACCACACCTGAATTCCTGGGCAGTTCTCTGTACCAGGTCCCACTGGGAGCTTTCCATACTCACCTCCAATTTCTGAGACATCTCAACATTTCCAAGAATTCAAAAATCAGAATCAAGCACTCCATGACCCACCTACCTCAGAAGTCAAACTATGCTTAAATAAAATTCATAGAAAGCTATTGGTTTGGACCGTGCTCCTGCACTGGGCTCAACAAACCCAACCAAAATAGCCAAGCTCAAGCTCTGAGATACTAAGCTCATCTGATCTCCAAGAAGTCAGGAGAGAGAAAGAAGTAATGGCCAATAGAAACAGCAGCACAATCAGGAAGTCCCTCTGCCTTAATCCTCACAGGGAAAGGGGCTTGAAACGCTGGTTCACATTTTGTTGTCTGTTTCTGCTTTCTTCAGCCCTTTTCCTTCTGCTTTCTTCAGCCCTTTTCCGTCTATAAAATGAACTTCTCTGCTAATCAGATCACTGTTTTGCCTAAATGCAGTAAATAAAGCCAGGCATGGTGGCTCACACCTGTAATCCCAGCACTCGGGAGGCTGAGGCAGGAGGATCGCCTTTAGTTCAAGGCCAGCTGGGGCTACATAGTGTTCAAGGTCATCCTGATCTGCATAGCAAGACCCTGTCTCAAACTCCTCCCCACCAAAAATATATATCATAGTGTTCCGTTGAAAGACTCATAATAACACGTACTCTTTGCTAGTTTAAGGTTTGGTATGACTGGGCCAGGGATTTAGCTCAGTGGCACCACCATGCCTGCCTTGGAAGCTCAGGGTCCTAAGTTTGATCCTTAGTACCGCAAAAAAACAAAACAAAACAAAACAAAAACAATTAAGCATGACTAAATGCTTTTTTTTTTCCTTTTGGTACTGAGGATTAAACTCAGGACTTTGCACTCGCCAGGTAGGCGCAGTGCCACTGAGCTCAATTCCCAGCCCTGAGGAGTGGCTTTTATTTTTTACCTTTTCTTTTCCCAGTTCTGGGGATTGGACCCAGGGAGTGCTGAGTTACATGCCCACCCCGTTACTGTGAGACAGGGTTTCACTAGATTGCCCCAATTGGCTTGGGACTGAGACCCTCCTGCTTCCGGTCCTGAGTAGCTGGGAGTCCAGGAATGTGTCTCTATGCCTAGTTTAAAAATGTGGTTTTAAGAAAAATAAAATAAACACATCCTTAGAATATATTACCCAGAGTGTGTGGGGTGTGTTGCCCCACAGCAGAGCAGAGCACTTGTGAGGGCCCAGGTCAATCTTCAGCACAGACAAAAAAACAGAAGCAAAGCCAACCCAAGGCCCAGATCCTAGATGGTAAATCTGCTGGAATGCAGCAGGGCCTGGACAGTGTGCGAAACAGGGTCTTGTTATTCACTGAGGCTGACTTTGAACTCACTCCTCAGACTTGCAGCAGGCCTCCTGCCTCAGCTTCCTGAGCGCTGGGATCATAGGTGTGCACTGCCACGCCAGCCTATCCTGACGCTGCCTCTGCCCGCTGGGTAACGAGGTTCACTGACCAAGCCCCTGTGTGACACTGCTGTACCAAGAGCTGGTGATCTACAGGGAGACGAAGCCTGCTTTGTCTCTCCTGGATTCAGTCGTGCTTCAGGGTTACCAAACTGCCTGTTGAGGGGAAGCTGTTTTTGTATTGGAATTCCAGCTAGTAAAAGAGGAAGAAAGGATGGAAGTTTAAAAAAAATATATCACATTTTGCAACTCATGAATAACCGACTGAGGCAAGGCCCAGCCGGTGGAGTATCAGTTGAGGCTGATGTCAGGCTAGGCCTTCAGAACTCGCTGCGTGGTCTCATGTGTGGCCTGTTCCTCCGGCCGGGCGTGGCACTGAGACCGTCTCAGAAACACAACCTTGATCCTCCAAAATGGGATCGAATCCAGCCGAACCTTTCAAGATTTAGTAACTGGGAATAGAAGGAGGAAGTTAGGTAACACAGGGAAACAAACTGACAAATTCTGACAGTAAGGTTTTCCACAGGACAAATGACTGCTTCTGTCTGGTGAGCACTCTGGGAGGCTGAGGCAAACCATTTTTTTTTTTTTTTGGTTGTTGTTTTTGAGATAGTCTCAGTATGTAGTTCAGGGTGGCCTTGAACTCACTATATGGCACAGGCTGGCCTCAAAGTCGCAGTGATTCTGTGGCCTCAGCCTCCTAAATTCTGGGATTCAGGCGTGGGCCCGATGACCAGCTCCTATTCTAAGAGCCCATCTAGGCCCCTGGGCGTGGTGGAACACTCCTGTAATCCAGCACTCGGAAGCTGAAGCAGGAGGGTCATGAGTTTGAAGCCAGTCTGGACGACATAGTGAGAAGCAAAGTAAAATCCCATCCAGGGGTCACATTTCTATTCCACAAGGAGGAAAGCTGTGGCTCTCCCGCTCACCTGCAGGCTGCCAGGATTCCACATTCTTTTGCAAGCATCCGATTTTTTTTATTTTTTGTATCAGGATCGAACTCGAACCTTGTGCTTGTGAGGCAGGTAGTGAGTGGAACCACTGAGCTAAATTCCCAGCCCTGCAAGCATCTGATTTAGGAAGAAGGTGTTACTTTCTCGAAGAATTTTGGAACTTGGACTTTCCCAAGCAGTAAGCAGCCTGCTCCCTCCCCACCCCATTCCCAGCCTCAGGAGTGTTCTCGACTAAAAACGACATGAAAACGTGCATGGACAGAACCACAGAGACTGCAAATGTTCATTCTCCATTAAAAACTTTCACGTTATAAACATTTTTTTTTATGTTATAAACATTTTGATCCATAAATAATTAAGGAGGGTAGTGCACCTAGTTCCTCACCATGAATCCAAAAATCTCGCCCCACGTCTGACTTCCACCAACCCGATCCAACGCTGGATCTTCTCCCAACACCTAAGAGGAAGCCTGGGCTTCCTCAGTCCCTGAGTTCACAGTTAGCAGTTCCACCAGCCATCGGACAGGGTCGGCCATCCAGAGGCGCCCAGGCAGGGCCCAGACTAGGGGGGTGGAGCGGAAGCACTCAGTGAGGGCAGAGCCACGGTCTGGAGCAGAAACTCCTTTTCATCCCAGCGGAATAATTTCTCCAGCAGAGAAGTTGCTTTGGCACAATCCCAGAGTCCAAAGGAAGGTGGCGATGTCCCTTAGGCGCCTGCAGCTGACCCTCTAGGAAGCCGCGGTCCCAGGAGTCAGGGCCAAGTCCTGCCCTGGCTCACAGCGTCCCGTAGACACTGATCTTGGCCATGGAGATGCTCTCCGTGTAGCGGCTCAGGCCTTTCTCGTAGAGCACGTAGAGCTGTGGGGCCTTGTTCTCCCCGCCCGTGCCGCTCTCCAGGGCTGTCAGGGACGAGTAGCCGCTGGGCCCTGGCCACAGCCGGACCTTGTCTTTCTGCCACGAGGTCCCGTTGCTGAAGCTCCAGCGCAGGGTCAGGTTCACTCCTGGGTGGAGGGAGAGGGTCAGGGCGGGCAGGGTCCTGGCCCCGGGGCTGCCCCGCCAAGGTGCTCGGGCACTCACGGAACTCGGGGTGGGCTGGGTTGGAGAAGAAGATAATCCCGGAGCTGGTGGCTACGGCTCCGGCGGCCACCACAGGGTCCACGAGCTCATGGTCGAAGGTCACGTCCCGGGGCCTCAGGGTGTCGCAGGCGTCGTAGCTGCGGATGATGATCCGGCAGTGGCAGTGGTAGTTGTTCTGGTTCCGGGCATTGATGATGACTGAGCCATCGGGGAGCTCATAAGGCTGAGGGGAGAGAACAGGGCTCAGGGAGACCAAGGAGGGTGCAGGTACAAGTCGGGGGCAGAGCTGGCGGTCAGCCCCGGGTGGGCGGGTGCTCGGGGGACAGGGCAAGAGGAAGGGGGGACACGCCTGGATCCCTGACCTGGCACTCGTCGGGGTTGAAGTCATTTTCCAGCTTGGGCTGGCCATAGGGGATACCGCTGAGCCCCGCCCCGTAGTGCCAGGTTGCACCATGGTCATCACTGAGCAGACAGGAGACGCCATCCCTCTCCAGCGTGCCGTGGCCGCACACGATGAGCCGGCCCTTCCGTGGCTCCCACTTTTTCTGTGTCACAGACAGGGACACTGTGAGGGCCCAGAGGCAGGGAGCACCTCTGCTCCAAGCGTGAGCACCCACCTGGCCCCAGCCTTAATTAAGCCTTTAAAATTTTTTGAGACAGACTTTAAATTGCTCAGGCTGGGCTTGAACTTGTCATCCTCCTGTCTCAGCCTCCCAGACTACACTGATTATAGGCCAGATCAGTTCTGTCTTTTACTGACAACGTGAGAAGAATCCCACAAACAAAGACCACCTGAATTAAGGAGCTCTTTTCTAGAAAAAGTTCCTTGGGACGTTGAGGGTGCCCTGCTAGACACGTGCCCAGTCCCAGTACCTTAAAGCCCACCTGAGCTCACTCACCAAGCTGGATGCTGTGACACAGGCTAAGTCTGCCCGAAGGAAGGGCCCTTTCCTACTCTGCACGAAGACATCAGTCTCCTCCAAGGCCCACAGCAAATTTCATCTGCCCCAGGTAGGGTGCTCCATTGGACAGCCCTTCCTTAGAAGGAATCCCACCCCAGGCAGGAAATGTGACTACCCAGGATCTTCCCTCTGGACAGAGGTGTTTCCAGACTCCTGACAGCCCCTCCGCCATCACCTCCCAGAGACCTGAATGCCGGAGCCTGGTCCCGGGGCAAACATCTCGGTGCCGATGTCCATGGAGAGGTTGCGGGGTGGGCTCCAGGAAACGCCGTCATTCTTGCTCCACACCAGCATGGTGGAGGCCACCTGGCAACGGAACTTATGGGCACAGAGCGTGTAGAAGAGAAACACCACTCCTGTCTCCTCATCGCTCACCACGGCCCCCAGGTTCAGCCCATCTGAGACCTCTCCGTCGTCCACGATGAACGCCGTGGAGGACCACGTGCTGCCTGCGAGATAAAGGGAAACGGCACAGAGTGGGACCTCTGCAGTGCTTCCCACTGCTCCTTGTCAACTTCCTGCCTCTCCTTAGGGACCCACGGCCCTGGAGGCCCTGCTCTCTTTCCCTCCCTGACCTTACTGCTATCAACCCCTGGTCACCTGCTCCATCCAACCACTTGAGCTTTCCCATCCCCGGGCATCCCTTTGCCAGGGCTTTGCATAGCCTTGCTGTCGGCCTGGTCCACCGATACCCTGGGTTCACTGCCACCTCCTCCCAGCCTCTGCTCAATCACCTTTTCAGAGCTGCTGCCGAACACTAACACTCCCCATACCTCTTAACCGGTTTTATTTTTCTCTATGGCTCAATCACCTGCTATATAAAAACAAACTTTAAATTACATTTATCACCTATCTCCTGCCCACAGAACACAAGTTCCACACAGGTAGGGGTGTGGCAGTTCTGTTCAGGGCCATACAGATCTCCTGTATAAGGATGGATCTGGTCAGTCAGTGCCTGGACTTCTGACCCAGGAACGTGAGCAGCAGCGGCCTTACAGTGGCTTCCTCTGCAGCTTTGCACTGTTCGGCACAGCACCGACCGGAGTTTCCCGTTCTGTTACACACTGCAGCACTGCGTGCACGTTACACAAATACAAGCGGTCATCAAGTCGGAGTTTCCTCTCACCATTTCTTCGCTCGGAATATTGTAACATGCATTCTACATACAATTCTTCATTTAGCAACCAATTCAGACCTAGTTGCAGGACCGCACCGATAAACGTCTATTCACAGAACCTAGAACCGTGCCTGGTATGGAACGGGTTGGGGGTGTAGCACAGAGGCTGAGTGCTTGCCTGGCGCGTACAAGCCCCGGGTTCAATCCCCAGTACAACAGCAACAAACGGTTTGTTGAATGAATACTCAGTTCCCCGGACCCTTGGCCTCTTTCAGCCCTGAAGGGCTCAGCCCTCAGCCCTCCACGTTCCCCTCAGGCCCCGGGGCTGGTGCGGATCCCTGCATCAGACCTTTCAACCCGGGCACCTGCATACCCTGGTCGGTGGACCTCCGCAGGGCGATGAACTTGGCGCCCTCGTCGGACGCAGACATCTTCCTGGCCTCGGCGAAGGCGAGCAGGGTGCCCCGAGGGGTGGCTGCGATCAGCGGGATGCGGAAGGTGTCCACGGCGCCGACCTGCCTGCCGCTCACCCACAGCAGCTGCTCCATGGTCACCAGCGGCTGCACCTGCGCCGGAGGAGCGAGAGCCCGACCCGCTGGGGGACCAGGGGCGAGGACTCCGACTCAGGCGGAAAGGGGCTCGAAGGCGGAGGGGGGCGGGAAAGGGCCGAGCGGGCTCACCTGGCTGAAGTCATTCTCAGCCCTCGCACCCGGTCCCGCCAGGGACAGGAGCAGCGGGAAGATCGCGGCGAAAGCCCGGGCCACGGCGCCTTCCCAGGAGCCTGGCATGGCTGGTGCCCAGGGCCTGGCAGCACAGACCCGAGCCGCTCCAGACCCGCTCCCCGCCGTAGAGGTGACGGGGTCTGGGGTCGGTCAGCTGACCCGGCTCTTTAAACAGCTCCGAAGTCAGCTCCAAGCCCGCCCCACGCCGGACGACCCTCCCGCCCCGCGCGCCTCCCCCGACTCTGATTGGTCCTCTTGAGTGTTGACGTGCCCTTCTCGCCACAGGCTGTGGGATCCTGCCCTTCCGAGTGGCCGTTTGAACGTTTCGGATCACGTGATCCGGATGGCCGCAGTCTATTGGCTGTGCGGGTGAAGAAGGCGGATTTGCTGGGTGTAGTGGCGCACGCCTGTAATCCCAGCATTTGGGAGACTGAGACAAGGAGGATTGCGGCGACTTCGAGGTCACCCTGGGCTTCGTAGTGAGTTCAAGTCCAGGCCGCACTATGTATGGAGACTCTATCTCAAAAAAAGAAAAAAAAAAAAAAAGGAAAGAAAGAAAAGAAGGCGGACCCACTCCGAAGAGCCTTTCGTTTGGTCTTTACTTCTGGGGTGCGTCACGGGGCGGGGCCGGTTTTGAAGAGGCCGGCGCGCCGCGCTGGGGGATACAGGCTTGTTAAGACTATAAAAAACACAGACTTATTGAGAAAACAAAAATAGCAGTCTTTAATTCTTATTAAAATTACTATAAATTGGGGGTCTGTCAGGCAAGGTATAGCGAGGCGTCTGTGCAGTCGGGCGCAGTCCTGGGTCGGCGGGGTCTCTTCTCACTTCTTCCCCTTCTTGGCCCCGGGGGGCGCCTGGTTCTTCTTGCCCAGAATCTTAAGCAGGTTCTTGGACATGTAGTAGGGCCGGTCCAGGGAGCCATCGTTCCGCTCCAGGTCCTCCACTGAGCCGCAAGGGAGAGGGTGGACTGGGGTGAGGGTGGGGAGCGAGCGCACCCGCGGGCACTTTCCTCTTAGTGTCCTCTTGAGAAGCGGGTCGATCGCACGGTATTTCACCGAGTGATGATAAAGATTAACAGCAAAAAGGCATCGATCGCCCCGTATGTAGCTCAGGGCTGCCCTTGTGCGGGTCAGCCAGGGAGAGTCGCTCAGGCAGGCACCAAAGCCACAGGAGACCCAGCGAGGCAGGGAAGGGGACCCCTCACTACAGCCACCTGCTGGCAAATCTGGATTTCCTCGCTCCCGCTCCCCCTGGCCTCAGGATGTCCTAAGAAGACCTCTCTCTGGCTCCTTCAGCTCTCCCAGCAGGGTCTCTACCAGCAGCACAGGCTCCAAAAGCACCTGACCACGCACCCTGAGGGGCTGGGTATCACTCACGGAAACACAGGAAGAGCGTGTCCACACACATGCCGAAAACGCTGAAGAAGCCGCTGGCGATGACGTAGGCCCCCACGATGGAGGTCTGCAGGACAGAAGAAGGCTGGTGGGAGTCGCTGGCTTCCCTGGGGCCTGGCAGGCTGCGGCCAGAGGGGAGTCACTCACCATAATGGGAAGCCAGTAATAGTTGAGGTCGGGGTTCTCAAAGTCCTTACCCAGCCCCTTGATGCGACCGGAGAAGAAAAAGAAGGACAGGACACCTGTGGGAGCGCTGGAAGGTCAGGCCTGCTCCTCCGAGCTCACTCTGGCCCCTAGGCAGCCCCCCTCGACCTTGAAAGGCCTGGTCTTGCCCCTTACCCACGCCTCCGACCACCAGCAGCTTCCCGAAAAACAGCAGCAGGTCTGTGACTTTATCCAGGACAACCACCCTGTGCGGAAGTCGGGAGAGTTAGGGTCAGGTGCTGGAAGGGCAGGAGCAGAAGTGGCTCTCTAACGTGCAGGACAGCTGGGAGCTGCAGGCCTGGAATCCCAGCACTTAGGAGAGTGAGGCAGGAGGATCACAAGTTCGATTCTTGGTGATTTAGCGACAAGTGAGACCCTGTTCGCAGGCAGAAGGTTTTTTGTTTGTTACCGGTGATCGATTGTGAGGCAGGCGCGGTGCCATTGCGCTAAATCCTCAGCCTAGAGACTCTGTTTGCAAATAAGGAAGGGCTGGGGGTGCAGCTCAGTGCAAAAGCCCTAGGTTCGATTCCCGGTACCAACAAAAATATACAAACAAAAAAACTGGCAGGGGCAGGTTCGAAGTGCGAATCATCCACATTGCAGGACAGGGACAGCAGAGCAGCGGAGCGCATCGGGGCTCTTCAGGGCGCAGCAGGCCCACAGGGCTCGCTTTGGATGGGAAATCAGAGGAAGGGGATACGCGGGTGTGGGCAGCCTGACCTGAGGACGTTCCGCATGAGCAGCATGAAGGCATTTTTGGCCGAGACACAGAAATTCTTCCCATAGATGGCGATCTGGGGGCAAAGTCAGAGGCACCGTGTGGAGCAGGCCGGGCGCAGAACAGAGGGGCGCATGCACGCATGCGCGCACGCAGCGGCTCACCATGATGTACGCGTTGCGGTTCAGAAACTTGATGAACTTCTCCAGGCACCAGAGGCAGCACTTGAAGCAGCACATGATGCAGCGGGCCAGAGCGTTCTGGGCGCCTAGGACAAGGGGAGCCGGTGCTTGGGCCCTGGCCTCCCGCTCCCCTGCGCGAGGAACCCTAGTGCAGGCTGCCCGCCCACACCCACCTTTCAGCTTGTGGTCCACGTACTCCAGCACCAGCCGCGCTATCTGCACCAGCGTCAGGATGAGGGCCCCAAACGCCAGGGAGCCCGTGTGGTAGCTGCAGAGGGAGTGAGGGCATTAGGCGTGGCCCCGGGGCCCCCAGCCCCACTGCTCCCATCTCATGGCAAGGCCCTGGCCCGGCTCACCGCAGGGTGCGGACGAAGGCAGCGGTCAGGGGGAAGGTGGGGATGTCCTGGGGCTTGTGGAAGGCCCAGTAGAAGGAAGCAAAGGCCCCGGCCAGGACACACTGGCCCAGGGCCAGCACCCAGTTAATGGTCCAGAAGAGCCCCAGGACGCCATAGATTTGCAGGTTGAAGAGGGTCCGCTGGGCGGGGCCTGTGGATGAGTAGCCCTGGAAGACGCACATTAGCTCCGGGCAGGAGGAGTTCTTGGACTGGGCCTGGGGATGGCAGGAAGGCAGCACAGGCTCAGTTCTAGCTTCTGAGACCTCCGTGGGGACCCTTGAGCTCCACCTGCCGGCCCTCTCTGGGCTCCTGTTTCTCTATGGTGTGAGTGTAATTAGCATCCTCCTGTCCGGGCGGCACAAGAGAGCGGAGGCTTCCTGGCAGCTACACCATCTGTGTGAAGGTCATGTGGCCCTCCCAGGGCAGCCTCTGCCACTTCAACCAAAACACTTTCCAGCCTGGACCTGGTGTGCACACCTATAATTCCAGCACTTGGGAGGCAGAGACAGGAGGGTCACGAGTTGGAGGCCAGCCTAGGCTATATAGTGAGTTCAAGGCCATTCTGAACTACATTACAGTGAAATCCTGTCTCAAAAACAAAAATCAGGGGCTGGGATTTAGCTCAGTGGTTCTGCCACCTGCCTCGCAAGTGTAAAGTCCCTAATTCAATCCAAGGTATCAAAAACAAAAAACCAAAAAACCATACACACACACACACACACACACACACACACACACACACACTCCAAAACTGAATAGGCTGGGTATTTGATGACATTAAGGAATTATTCTGTTGCCTGTGACAATGGCACAGTGGTTTTGCTGTGCATGTGTGCGCGCGTGTGTTGAGAAACCTGCAGCCTTGTGTATAGCTAGGCAGGCGCTCTACCTCTGAGCTACACCACCAGCCCTAGTTATGTTTTTTTCTCCTCTAGTAGCACACAGCTTTATTCCCCAACTGTTTTACAAAGTTTTCATTTTATGAAGGGTCTCCCTACTTTGCCAGGTTGAGCTTGAACTTACAATTTTTCTGCCTCAGCCTCCTAGAGCGCTTGGATTATAGGCGTGTGTCACCACACGGGCTCCTGGGACCGGCTTCTCAGCCACCTGGCTGTAATTTTTCAAAGTCATTGGTGAAAGTCATCCTGACATGTTTACTTGTGAAGGGGCATAGTGTCCAGAGTTTGTATTTTAAAAGTCCCTCAAGGGCTGCGGTTGAGGCTCAGGGCAAACACCCGGTGGTGTAGCCCCAGGGATATGGTTCCTTGGCAGAACTTGCCCAGCTTGCTCAAGATCTGGGGTTTACACTCTGACAATATTAAAAAACCAAAATGCTCTATTGTTATCTACTATTGTACGTGTCTGGAAACGTCTACAATGAAAACTAAAAATGCACAAATAAACACTAAACCAGTTCAGTAAATGTGACCCTCCAAATCTTGATAATTTCTGAAATTGAGTGTAGGTTTAAAATTCTATAATAAAAAACTTTCTATTTTGTGAGTCATTGTGGGTCACTCACTACGTAGTCCGTAGCCCCTGTTAGCTTCAAACACAGTCCCTGGACCCCGCTCAGATGAGGTTACACAGGACGAGACAGCTTTGAGGACAGTGAACGCCCAGCGCTCGAGTGCCGCGTGTCCTGGGACAGCAGCGCCTCGCTCAGGTCCCCAGGAGCTCTCCCTACTGGTGGCTCAGGGCCATGTTCCAAAGGAGTGGACCAGCCTACAACAGTGGCTCCTATCAGATGCCACACACGGCACTGAGTACTTTATGTACCGGTGTCATTTAACCACCTCTGGGATAATTACTCCATTTACAGAGCAGTAGCCCGAGGCCATCGGGGAGGAAAGTCCTACACAGGGCCCTGGGCCAGCGTCCCCTCCCCTTCATCAGATGGGCGCTACCTGCCAGCTGCTCACTGCTGGGAATGGCCGCTGAAGGGAAGGAACCTTGGGAGAGTCCTCACCCTCCCCAGGCCTCTCTCAGGCACCTCTCACCGAGGGGATCCTAAGTCCTCACAGTGCTACTGAAGCCTCCTCCATCCCCCCGCCTCACCGTGGGGTCACAGGACTGGTTCACCGGTGCGGCCTGGCAGCCTGGAGCGCTGGCGTTGGGGACCCAGTAGACATACTGGGGTTGCCCGGATGTGGCCAGGTACCCAGTGGGGAGTCAAGGAGAGCAGTCGCACGGGGTCTCTGTGGCCACCCTCAGGGGCCACCCCCTGCAGGCGGGGACACCGCGGACAAAGGATACAGAGCAGTCGTGACCCAGTAGGCAACGCAGACGACCAGGAGGACGAAGGTGACCAGCGGGTACAGCATG